AGAAGGTCGTGATGATGCGATGGAATGAATGCTGTTGTTGACCTGACCTGGTTGGTGCTCTTGTGATGTGAGAGCTGAGACAGTTGAGAGACGCTTTTTGGGTTTGGTTGCATGATGGATTCAACGATTGTCATCACACCTGGCTGCCGCCTGTCACACATGGACACGCTCATTCAGACAGCCAGAACACCCGCCCGCTCCCACACACGTACATGGCCGGTTCCTTGGAGCGGTAGTGAAGCACACGCGTGTCAAAAAGGGCTGGATGACACCATCATCGATGGAGACAAAAACCGCACACACACACACACACACACGGATTGCGTGGAAGGGCTCGTCAGGGTAGCGCACCAAATGCCTGCGCCCAAAAAACCTGACGGCCCTCACGGCACACCATCCCGTCACGGCCCTCATCCATCCATCCGTCCATCGTTGGATAAAGGCAGGCCACCGCTTCCATCTTGAAGACCCTCCTCCTTGTCCAGTCTAGAGCATCTCGAAGTAGGTCTTCATTTCCCAATCGTCGCCACTGTTGTGCTCAATCTGATGAGGTGGATGGTGGCCGACACAAACAAACAGACAGACACACAGACAGACAGACAGACAGGGAGACAGATGGGCAAGGGAAGCACCGAACTGAGTGAGTGTGATGGACGGACCTCCCACTCCTTGACGGCCACAAACAGCTTGATGAAGTCCTCGCCCAGCGCCTTGCACAACACCTGGACCAACAACCACACACACACGCACACGAAGGCCGTATACAGACAATGGATGGATGGATAATTACCGGCCATCTCCCCCTCTCTCTCTCTCTGTGTGTGTGCGGTGTGGGGGGGCCCTACTTTGTTTTGCTTCAGTGCGGCAAGGGCCTCCTCGAGCGACGAGGGCAGCCGCGGGTGATCCTTCATCTCGTAGGCGTCACCGTTGACGCCGGGCGGCAGCTCCATCTTCTTCTCGATGCCGTCCATTCCTATCCGTGATCACACACAAAAAGGATACACTCACACACATACAAGCATTCTCATCACTGTCTGTGTGTGCGTGTGTGAGTGTGTGTGTGTACCAGCAGCGATGCTGGCCGCCAGGATCAGGTAGGGGTTTGACGCCCCCGCGCCAATTCTGTTCTCGAAGTATGCGTTGTGGCCGGGCTTCCCCCTGATGGCGCACGTCCGGTTCTGCCTGCCCCAAGACAGTGACACCGGCGCAAAGGTGTTCTCCTTCAGCCTACGACAGACACACCAGGTCATCGGACATACCATACACACACCACAGGGGCAGGCACATTGCTTGCTGCAGTGTGGTGGAGTGGCTGGCTGACCGTTTTGAGCAGTTGGTCGTAGGGTTGAAGAAGGCACAGATGGCCCGGCCGTGGTGAAGGATGCCGGCCATGTAGTGCTGTGCCGTCTGGGAGAAGCCCGTCGGCTCCTTGGAGTCGCCAGTGAGGTTGACCGACCGGCTCACATCCCACAGCGACTGGTTCAGGTGACAGCCACCTGCCATGGTGCCAGACGACAAACACACGAGCAGAGCGACAGAGATGACAGACAGGCAAGGCAAGTGAAGTGATCTGATGTGTGTCAATGTCATGTGGGGCCGTTTGCTTACATCCGCCGCAGTCTGGGTAGGGTTTGGTCATGAACGAGGCCATGTAGCCCGCCCTCTGGCAGATCTCCTTGACGCCTACAACACACACACAGACACACACACACACCGCCCTACACGACAGGAATGCACCAGATCGCTCTCTCGCTCTCTCTCTCTCTCTGTGCGTGTGATTAACCGGTTTTGAAGGTGAAGGCGTTGTCGGCAGCCTCCAGGCCAAACGAAGGGGCGAACGTCAGCTCCATCTGACCAGGCCCATACTCGACGTTGGCTGTGGTGCACTCCACGCCCATCTTCTTCATCGACCGCAGCACCTCATAGACCAGCTTTTCCTCCTGCGCCAGCCGGATCGTGCTAAAGATGTTGATGCCGCCGAAGGGCGGCTTGCGGGTGGCTCGATCCACCAAGTAGAACTGACCACACACACACACACACACGCACACACGCACACACACAAGGGGAAAGACAGAGAGCGGGGAGTCATCAGGCCACCACGTTCCCCCACCCTGCCGCCCATATATATATCTCACCTCATACTCGAACGAGGTCAAGAGTTCGATGCCGATCCCCCGGAGACGGTCGAGCTGCTTTCGCGCGACGCTTCTGGGTGCCATGAGCCAGGGCATGTACCCGCCAGACGGGCTGACGTCGAAGTGGTAGGGGTCGATGAGGACTCGGCCCGTCCTGTCCGAGTGCGGCACGACCCTGAACGTTGAGGTGTCGGGGAACCATGTGCCGTCGCTGTAGCCGATGTCCTCCATCGTGCCGGTGTCTTTGCCGTGAGTCGCGACGTTACCCTGCATAGCCATGCCACAGCCACAGCCACACACACACATGCCATGCCATTCCATGTATTACGCGGTTTTGCTACCGCGGCCGGGCCAGTGGGTGCGTACCAGTGGGTCCATGCCAAACACAGCGAGGATGAAGTTGAGGCCATGTGAGCCATAGTCGGGCACATGGGACACCGGAATCGTCTTGCTGCGGCTGATGCCATGCAGATCGGCGAACTCGAAGCGCACGAAGTCGATGCCCTCTGTCTGTATCTGGTTGAGCATCTTGGTGAGCTCGATCCGGGAGATCGGTGGAGGGGCGGACTCGGCCGCTCCGTTGCAGGCAGGCGGAAGCATGTCGATGAACCAACCGATGACAAAACGGTCACCACAAGGCAGATCCAGCAGCAAACCTTTCACACAGAAGAAGCCTCAACGAATGTCCTTTAGCCAAAACGGCACCGCGACGTTCTCTTCAGAGAACGGTTTCACGGAACGTCCTCTTGTTGCGAGCTCAAAGAATGTGCACATCCCTGGTCTTAGTTGCGCTGATCATCCAGTCTATGGTCGTTGCCCTCAGGCCGTCACTAAGACGCATCTTCTCCAAGACCAAGCAGATCTCCCTCTCGCCGCCTCCCCGGTTCATGTCCTCAGCAAACGGCCTTCTCAGCAACAACCTGGAGCGCATCAGTGCCCTGCGGAAAGAGTACTCGATGAAGGGCCTGGACGAGGCTTCGATGCCCGCGGATCCGCTCACTCTGTTTGGCGAATGGTTTGAGGACGCCAAGACAGTCAGCGTGGAGCCCAACGCCATGTGCCTGTCGACAGCCAGCAAGGAAGGCCGCCCGTCGGCGCGGTTTGTGCTGCTCAAGGGCTATGACGAGCGGGGCTTTGTCTTCTACACCAACTATGAGTCCAGGAAGGGCAAAGAGCTGACGGAGAACCCCTTCGCGTCACTGACGTTCTGGTGGGAGGCCCTCGAGCGGTCAATCAGGATAGAGGGCCGCGTGCAGCAAGTGCCGCCTGAGGAGTCCGACGCCTACTTCACCTCCCGCCCGAAGGCCAGCCGGCTGGGCGCGATAGCGTCCGACCAGAGCCGCCCCATTGCGAGCAGGGAGGCGCTGGAAGCCAAGTGGTCGGAGCTGGAAGGGCGGTATGAGGGGACGGCAGAGGTGCCCCGGCCCCTTCACTGGGGCGGCTTCCGGCTGGTGCCGTCGAGGATAGAGTTCTGGAAGGGGCGGGAAAGTCGGCTGCACGACAGGCTGGTGTACACTAGGGGCGAGGGAGAGGGAGAGGGAGGGGGCGAGTGGCGCATAGAGAGGATGCAGCCATGATGCTGGCAGGCAAGCAGACAGACAGACAGACCAAAGGCTGTCTGTCTGTCTGGCTGACTGAGCGAGAGGAATGTGTTGTATGTTGCGCATGACGGTTTTTGTCCCGCTGTTTTGTCCCCTTGTGTGCGCACGCAGACAGACGCACCTGTGTGGCTACGTGGGAGGGTTAGCGCTGCTGGCAGCTAGATGAGACTCGGCACGAACCGATCGTTTGATTTGCACTGGTGATGCCGGTGTGCAGATACCTACCTATGTGTGTATGTGTGTGGGTGTGTGGGTGACACCTTCTGTGAGTGAATCGGCTCGTGTTGTTGCGTTTTGTGAGGCCGCGACATATGCTACGCGTGTCGCTTTCCGTGCAGATGCAGGGCGAGTGTGTGTGATAGGTAGACGGCCTCACACTGGCGTTGTGAGAATAACGCGAGCACGCCAAGGTTTCATGTCGCCACGCCTCTTCATGCCTCCATCCCGGAGTCTCTCAGCTCGTCCTTGCTGTGGTGTTCCTGGCAGCCAAGAACCGATGGATTCACTCTCAGATGAATCCCACATGAGCCCTCTCGTCGCTCTCTCAGTGGCGACGGCAGCAAGTGGTCCGGACCTGCGCAGACAACACACAAAAAATGGAGGCATATGAACACGGCGGATTGGACCATCTGGGCACCTCGGGAGATTGACCAGGGGCGGCAGAAGAATACGTCAATCCTGGACGGCCGAGGTCGACCACTGGATGTGAGATCGCGTCTGACCAAGCCCATTCGGCTTTCTAGCACCTAGAGGGCTCCATTATGCCATCCCTATCCATCAGCATTACCGACAGATGGCGAGGCCGCGACCATCCTTTCTTTCCTCCTTTTGCGGCGGCCTGACGAGCTGCGGCGTCATCATGACGTCGTTGCCAGCCCTCCCAGGGGCAAGGCTGTCGCCCGCGATGGCTCAGCAGCTGGAATCTGCCACCCATAGCAAGATGGAGGAAGTCGAGGCCTTCATCTCAAGGTGAGATCACCGATTCGGTGGACTCAGTGGAGCACTGCAATGGTGTGAGGTGTCGTGAGGCTCTGTTGGGCTGTCCTGACACATGCATGGCCATCTGTGAGATCATCTGTGACGCAGTGTGCGTGGATAGATGCGCATTCAATTGGGTCCCAGACTTGTCTGTGCCACTGCGTGTGTGGGTGTGGTGCAGATGCAATAGTGAGGGCTGTGGAGATCTCATGGTGGTCCGTTCGACGATATCCAACGCTCGCGAGGTGGAGAAGCTCGTCCAGAGCACCCTCACTTCCCACATGGCCACATACGCCAAGACCAAGCAGACCCCCTTCCAGCCCAACGTGGTGCGCCTCTCGCCGTCCGACAGCCGGAGCGGCACCTACGATGTTGTGGCGGTGCTGCGGACCATCTCGATGGCGATGTGGGGGCGGACCAAGGGCGGCAGGGCGGGGATCATGCGTGAGGTGCACGACATGCTTGAGAGGAGCCGAGACCCGCCGGCTGGTGGCCCCGTTGACCCTCATCTGCTGGTGGAGAGGATGCTCGACCGGCTCAAGTGGAAGAAGACCATCTGGTGGGTGGGCGGGTCACAGCGATGGATGGATGGATGGATGAATGGATGGATGGATGGATGGAGAGAGGGAGGGATGCTGTTGTGCGGTCTTCTGGTGTCTGATGCGATTGTGTTGTGTGCAGGTTCGTGGTGATCACGCACATGGACATGTTGCCGCTGTCGTTGCTGGCGAATCTGACTACCGACCCCCGGTCAAAGGTGGCCATCATAGGTGGGCGGGGACTGAGGCTCCAACGCACACAAACACCTGCGTCTCGATTGCCTTTGTCGCTGTGTCCTTTGCAGGCTTGCAGACGGTCGTTGGCGATAGTGACGAATCCACGCCGTCCTGGAGCAGCCCCTCAAGTGGTACGGAGGGAACAACCCTTTCTTCGTCCATATTCCCTTCCCTCCCTCCCTCGTGTGTCTGTGTCTCTCTGCCTGCAGGTTCCCCCAGGTACGAGATCCTCCGGCTCAACTCAGCCAAGGAGCTCATCAACGCTGCCCTCGTTCCGCCGCCACGCAAGAAGAAGTCCTCGCCGCCCGCCGACAGGGCAGCGCCGAGCACCTTCGCAGCCGAGATGATCTCGGCGCTGGACCTATTCGTCGAGGACAATGCTCGCGCCGAGGACCGCTTCGCCGGCGACATTGCGGACAATGACGACGACGGCGTCTACGAGCCACGCGCACCCAGAAAGGTCAGGAGCAAGCCCAAGAGACAGAAGCCGAGAGCCAAGCGAGAGGAGGCTGGGGAGCTGGGCGGTAGCAGTGGTGTGTGTGGGGAGCGCGGGGCTGATGGGTGGGAGGGAGGGTATCAGTACTACGATGGCAGGCAGCCGATGGATGCCAGCAGGAGGTCAGACAGAGACAGAGGCTCTACACAGACACACGCAGGAGCCGATGCTGCTGCTCTCTTCCTCCCTCTTCTTCAGCATAGCGCCGTTTGAGTTGAGGAGAGGTCATCTGCCCGTGCACTTGCCTGGATACGGCCAGAGCCAGCGGGGAAAGCCGGCAGGCAACAGGCCAAAGTGAGTATGGATGACATGAAAGAGAGGACGCACCGCACGGAGCCCCCTCTTCATGAGTACTCTTCGGTCTGCCTGCCTGCCTCTCTGTCGATTAAGGGCTCGTTTGGTGGACCAGCTGCGGTCGTCGAGGGTGAAGCCGCCAGCACCCCCACCGCCACCCCCATCCAACATGTATGTGTGTGACCTCAAGGGCGACAAGAGATCAAGCTAAAGCTCCGTGCATTCTTTTGTGTGTGTGTGTGTGTGATCCAGCAGCCGGTTGGGCACTCTGTCATCGAATGGTGCTCTGGCCACCAACCCCTCACCCGTGGTGGCCCTCAAGACGCCCTCACTCCCGGCAGACGACTGCAATGGGGAGGATGACACACCACCCAAGGAGGACCATGAACACACAGAAGGGTAGGCGGCCAGGCAATCAGGCAGATGTGCAATGGCCCCCCCATGCAGCTGAACGTGTGTGTGTGTGTGTGTGTGTCGCAGGTGTGCGAAGAGGTCGCTGGCGGCCGAGCTGCGGCTTTCGCGGCAGGTGCTGTCGACGCACCCCTTCCCCGCTGACGTGGCCACTGCATCGCCCGCTGCCAAGATAGATCTCGAGCTGGTCCTTGGTGCTTTCACCCTTTCATGCAGCCGGGCACCGGCACCGGAACCCGACGTGCCGTCGCCCACCGTCTCCCAGCACCACCGCTACCGGCTGTCGTCACCTCCGAACCCAGAGCAGGAGCCCGACCCCTTCGCCAGCGGCCCCAACGCACACGGCATGGTGCTGCGACAGAACCGCAAGAAGCGCACCCGCAGCCCCCTCCCATCACCCGGCCCGTCGGACAGCGACGCCCGGCCCCTCCCCAAAGCCAAGCGCGCCGCCGTCGAGGAGACGCTGCCCGTGTTTGGTGGGCTGGGGGAGGAGGTGCTGTGCGGCCAGTGGTGCGGGGGGCGTGAGGGCGAGGTGGTCAAGGTAGCAGACCCAGCCGAGACAGCGGGGGATGAGGCCGCGTCGCCCAAGAGGAGGGCGTCACGCGGCAAGGGGCGGAGTCGGCAGCCGATGGTATGGAACGATCAGCGTGTGCTGGCTCCACTGCGGAGGCGCATGGAGGACATGGCGCGAGCATCGGACTGGCAGTGCCGCGTGGACGTGGCGCGGTGCCGGCTGGCCGCAGAGGAGGACTCATCGGACCATGGTGGCGGCGATGACGGTAGTGAGGGAGAGGGAGAGGGAAAGGGAGAGGGGGAGGGGAAAGGGATGGACATCGACGAGGGGCCGGGTGCTGGTGCAAATGGTGGTGGTGGTGGTGGTGACGATGCCGACATGGAGAGCCTGGCGGAGTGGCTGGGCAGCGGGGCCCACATAGTCATGCCATGAGAGAGGGAGAGACACACAGAATTCGGTGCAATGGGTGGGTGGGTGGGGGTGTGGCGGGATGTATAGCTGCGAACATGCACGTGGGTGTGGGTGTGGGTGTGGGGGGTGTTGGTATGTGGGCGTACAAGTGAATTATTCGACTGACGGTGGGTGATTGATTGCATGGGATGAGTGACACGAGCGTATTGGATGCACATGCTATGCTGCCGGACTCTCCGAATGAGTGGACGGACGGACGGATGGACGGATGAACCAACACACAGGGAGCATGTTGGTGCTGTCTGTGCTTCTTCGGCAGGCAGGCAATCATGTCGTGGAAGCTAGTCAGTCAAAACACTCAGGCTGGGTGTGGTGTGCCAACATCAGCGCACACACACACAGCACACAGGAGGTTGCACGCACACACGTGACGTGTCAGTCAAAACTACTGGCTGATTGATTGCAGAAATGAATGAATTCATTGTGCTTTAGCCGCATTACGCACCTTCTATCATATGATACACTTCGCACCAGGGTAGCGACGGGGCTGCTAGCTGAGGACCCTCTGCAGGAAGTTGGCCACAGAGCGCATCTCATCTTCACTCGAGCCGTGGCCAACACCATTCAGCGTCTCCCACTGCACACACACACACACACACGCCCAAAGACGTCAGTCCAAAAGGGTGAGGTGAGCAGACTGTTTGATAGATGTGAATGAGTGGCCGGCCGACCTGCACGTCCACGCCGAGTGTCTTGATGAGGAAGTCCCTGCTCCTCACGCCCCAATCGAATGCAACCACCTGGTCAGCTGTATGCCACACACCAAATGTATACAATCAATATACGCACCATACGATGGATCTTTGTGCGTAGGTCGGTGTTGCGCAGTGCCTTGTATTGCGCCCGGACTGTGTTACCGGTGCCATGGCACATGAGCATTGGCAGCTGCTTCCTCTTGATGGCCTCCACCTTGTCAGTGTTGCCGTCGTATGACGAGGCCACCGGCAGCCACGACGACAGACCCACACACGCCTTGACGGCCTCAGACGACCCGTAGTTCAATGCCGTGTGAACCGCCAGCGCACCGCCTTGCGAGAAACCACCTGCACACACACACACACACACACACACACACAGCGGAATGGAATCGTTGCTTCCTCGCCTGTCAGTTGTTGTCATTTGCTCACCGATGACGACGGGTTTGTCTTTCTCCCCATCGATGATCTTGGTCAGGCGGGCGAGGCACTCGTCGAGGTGCTCCGGCACGTCAGCCTGGTCGGGGTTCAGACCCTTGATGTCCCACCATGCTGGCATCGCCATGCCAAAATTCTGCATGTGTTCGAATCATGCCTCGTGAGTTGCCCTGCCGTGCTGTCTGGTGTTGTGCGTGGCCGACCAGTGTGACGCGCCTCGTGGGCGCGGTGGGCAAGATGAGCTTGACGTGATCGAGCTCAGTGCCCTTGTTGCGCCGAAGCAGGTCGGCCAGCTGGGGGCCCCAGCCACGTGCTGTGTCGCCCAGGCCGTGCAGCCATATCACTGATGGATGGATAGCAACAGCAAGACCGATGGATGGGCCAGGCCACCCCGTGTGTGTGATCTTTGCCTGCCTCTCCTTTTTACATGTGGCTTTGTATTCTCCGCCGGGGGGGTAAGTGAGCCCGCTGCCTCCATAGCCGTCACCTTCACCGCCACATCGAACAGTCAGACAGACAATCAACGCGCACATCTCTCTCTGTCCTGCTGCTGTTTGTTCGTGTGTGATCTCACTGAGTTCTGGCGTGTTTGATGCGTCGCCGCCCTCCTGCTCCAGGGACCAGTTGTCGAGCAGCGCTGTTGACATGCCTGCAGCCCGTGACGACGCCGACAGAGTCACAGGTTTCACAAAGGCCCGGGTGCCGATGAAGCAGGTGCCTTCAACTTGGCGGCTGAACGAATGAGCGAGGAAAGTGATGAAGAACGAAAGGCGATGCATTCACTTTTCCCTACAAGCTCGCAACTCTGAGCGGCTTGGTGAAGACCACGTCGGTTTACCGCCTTCGTTTCTGGTCACATGTGACGCTGCAGACCATGGATCTACCATTTGCACTGTTAATTTTGGACCTGCTTCTTTAAGATCTGACCCGCCTGAGTCACCTGGGTCAAAGAGGGGCTGCTGACTCACGTGCGCAACGGTTTCCTCGCCAGAGGAGCAAGTCGTGATGCCACTGTTTTCGTGTTGCGTCGTGCTGGCTCGTTGCCCAGGCCACTCGAGGGGGATTAAAGGACAGAAAGCGTGTCGGCTTGTGTGAATGAATTCGAATGGGAGACATAATATGTGACTCAGTGCACCTCCGCGGTGCTTGAATGACAAAACGGTCTCTCTCGACGAAGACAGACTATCGAACATTCGGCGCCAGTCTACTGTTGTCTCTCTCTCTCTCTCTCTCTCTGTGTGTGTGTGTGTCTCCCCCTCCCCATGTAATGACCACAGAAATTACTGTGCAAACATTACCACGGCCTTTCTGCACGTCCCTTCATCATCATCGACCCCCCCAAGCATCAAAATCCCCCAACACAGCAAAAACCCCCTCTCACCCAACCCTCCATCCCCACGTGTCTGAATGTGCGCATCTAATCAAGGAATTCGTGTCTGTGTGCACTAATGAATCAAAGTCCGCCTTTTGCAGACGCATTCAGTCCAGTGCAGTAAGTACGTGTATAGTGCAGTCTACTACTTGACTCTACAGCTCACTTAGCGGCGGGCTGTGCATGGCCCATGTGTGTTTCCTTGGGGTCGATGGCCCCCTTTGAGGGTCGGCGGTGCGTCTGGTTCTTGACCTGGTTCTGCTTCCACGAATCGTCGCTCGTCTGGCCGTCGAACGAGGCGATGTTGCCGATCGTCACCTTGGCTATCGCCTCAAGAGCCTCCTTGGTGAAGAATGCCTACGCGCACACACAAACAGGCAGACAGACTTGCCGTCGGTGTCTCTGTGTCTCTGTGTGTATGGCAAGGGGTTCTGGTCTGCAGTCAGTGACACCCACCTGGTGCGCAGTGATCATGACGTTGGGAAATGTGAGCAGCCGGGCAATGGTGTCGTCCTGGAGCACCTCGCTGGACAGATCTTCGAAGAAAATGTCCGCCTCGTCCTCGTACACGTCAATCGCCAAACCGCCGACCTACACACAGAGAGAGGGGAGTGACAGAGACATGGGCTAAGTGAGACACGTCTGAGAGAATCCACACGCAGCGGACCTTTCCCGACTTGAGTCCTTTGATAATGTCTTTGCTGTGGATCAGGGGACCTGATATAGCGAACAAGGAAGGACAACAAAGCTGTCGGTCTGTCTTTTTCCATGTGGATTTGTCTGCCGCACCTCGTGACGTATTGACGATGACGGCCCCTGGTTTCAGTTTGGCAATGGTCTTTTCGTTGATCAAATGGTGACTCTCGGGCGTGAGGGGGCAGTGCAGTGAGATAACGTCCGACGTCGCCAGCAGCTCGTCCATCTCGACGTACTTGCCGCCCAGCTTCTCAAAGTCGGCATTCTTGTACGGATCACACCCTGCACACACCCACACACACACACACATATTGGCGGATGGACCCACTGCTGGGCTGCATTGCGTGTGTACCGAGTATGGTGCATCCGAATCCGCTGCAGATGCGGGCGGTGAGGAACCCGATTTTGCCCGTCCCGATGAAGCCGAACGTCTTGCCGTGGAAATCCATCCCCAGCAGACCGTTGATCGAGAAGTTGCCATCACGGACACCTTAAAGGCATCACACAGGGACACACAGGCATACACACAGTAAGGGAGAGGGTCCGCGAAGTATTGTGTTCCGCTTGGGGGGCTTACGGGAAAATGCTCTGTGGAGATTTCTGTTGAGGCAAATCATCTGTAAGAGCAGACCGAGACTGTCAAAATGTGACCACTGCGTTTGCAAAGTGATATGCCTACGAGTCCGACGGCGTGCTCGGCCACGGCGTAGGGCGAGTAGGCCGGCACTCGACACACTGTTATCTTCCACTTCTCAGCCGCTACCACTGGACACACAATATAGAGAGAGGCAACAAGAGAGACATCGCCTTGAGTCAGCGAGTGCCTCAGCGATGCTGTGCAGATTGTGCGTACAGTCGACGTTGTTGAAGCCGGCACATCTGAGGGCCACCTGACGGATTCCCAGCTTGTCCAGCTCTTTGAGCACCTCCTCATTGACCGTGTCGTTGATGAAAACACACACCACATTGAAGCCCTTCGCAAGACCTACAGTGGCCTGCACACACACACAGATACGGACACACCTGCTTGTTTGTCTGTGTTCCCTCGATCCATTGGTGTGGCTGACGGGCGTGAGGCGTGGTTCGAAGAACTCCAATTCGATCTTGTGGCCGAGGAGGCTCAGTTGCTGAGTGAACGACGCATTGTCATACGCTGCAACAGTAGAGAGCAGAAAGACGTTAAGTCAGAGATGGGGGACAGTCGGATCATTGGGTAAGTGAGAACTTCGAGGGAAGGTGAGGTGAGGGGAGGCAAGGTCCACCTTTGGCAGAAAAGACGGCCACCTTGCAAGTCGATGTGGCCGAAGACATCTTGCCCGAGGAACCGGCTGCAGTGATGGGGCTGAGGGGAGAGAGACTGGGGCCACTCGGCACTACTACCTACTATGTGACGAGGCGATTCACTTGCCCGCGACGCCCCGAAGTCGATTTTAATGGGGCTTCCTACTTTGGCTTGCTTTCAGGGCGGTTTGCAAGCTTGACAACTAGCTCGCCCATGGCCCTGCTCCGCTCCGAGTCGGTCACGCCTTCCCCTAAAGCACACAGTCTCTTGCCCCCCCCCCCTACCCGTCCAATCAGAGTCTTACTGAGCACAAAGCACTTAGTGCCATCGATCATGCCGCAAAATTCGATCAGCCATTCATCAGGCGCGAAAGAAAGGGGTGACTACGACTAAGCCGTGTCGTATGGTTGGGATGACCGTAATACAGTCTCCACGGGCCTTCAGAGTTTGAGGTCTTTGGCGGTCTCCCACAACGTCTGGGCGCTCTTCTGCAACTGAGCCTCCTCGCTGCGAATGACGCAACACAGAGATGACATACACGGCCCATGTAGGTGTCCGTTCTCGTTTACTCTTTGGTGAGCTGCAGGGCAATGATCTTCTGGACACCAACGGGGCCCGCGACTGAAAGGACAGGCCAGAAGACAGCAATGAATCACACGCCAGTGCATCATACGCTGCTCACTGGTGGGCAGCGCCAGATACATGTCCTCGTCAATGTCGTGCAGACCCTGCACACACACGGACAGGACGTGCACGCACCATCAGCACGTGTCTCGCCGTGTTGCTTCGGGCAGGCGTCTGTCTGTCTGTGTACCTACCTTTGCGTGTACGGAGAGGACGTGCGTGTTGCTTTCGTTTCTGAGGAGTGTGCGGACAACCTGCGCGACGCTCATCCCGATGGCCCAGGAGGTGTAGCCCTTCGCCTTGATAACGTCGTACGCACTACACACACAACCAGAAGAATGGATGGATCGAATGCTCTCCTCCATGGAAACAACGCGCCCGTTGACGACTTGGGTGTGCAGCTCTCCCCACTTCTCAGGGTCGTCCTTCATCCCTGCCTTGGGATTCAGGTCGCGCAAACGCACACCGCAGGCCGTCATACTCGACCACACCGGCACTGCAGCCAGCAGACACAAGCAGCATATGGACACACAGGAGACATACCGTCTTTTGTGCCAGTATGTGAGTGCGCCGCGTCGACCGCTGGAGTCTCCGTGCTCTCCGATGATGTATCCATGGCAGTTGGTCGCGGCCACACCCAAACGCTGACTCATGAACGTGCGCAGACTGAGCATGACGCACCCCAGGAAGAGAGACACGGGGGAGATGGAGGGCCCTGTGCGTGTGTTTTCTCGTCTCACTTGGTTGCTTACCGGGAGGAGTCCAGGTTGGTTCCCGACCCGATGACGCGTTCCTTGGGCAGACCGCTCAGCTTCCATGCCACCCACGTCAGGATGTCCACTGGCCAGTCGAGCAGAAGGACAGGCAGCATAGACATATACAGCCACGCGGAAATGATCAATCCAGTCGGGTGGACGAACATCCACAACTGGCATCAACTCATATTGAGCCCGTCCACTCCACTCACCAGGGTTGGAAACGATCAGAAGGAGACAGTCGGGACTGCACAGAGAAACAGACAGACACAGAGACAGAAACACGGCACACATCCACATGACGTGACATGACATGACGGGGCTCTGCCTGTCTCCCCAGCGATGGTGGGTCACCTGTGCTTCACCAACTCGGGGATGATGCCTGCATTGAAGAGGGCGCGACAGACACGGATTGGATTGCGTGGAGTGTTTGTGCATGCAATGCAGTGGTTGTGCTGTCTGTTTGAGTCTCTCACCTTTGAAGATCTGTATTAACCGACATGAAGCAGCAGACACACATAGCCGGGGGGAGAGAGGGAGAGAAGGGGATCCATGTGGCTGTGGTGTGTGAGCACTGTGCTTGGTGCTGTGTGTGTGTGTGTGTGTCTGTGCTTCTGTCTGTCTGTCTGTCTGTCTGTCTGTGCGTGGTTCATCTGGGCTGGTGGATGTGTGTGTGCTTGTCACTCTCACTCACTTCGACGTTACGCTGCAGCAGGTTGAGTCTGCTCTCCCCCTCCCGCTGTCTGGCGCCAGCCGTCACCACACACACACTGCTGCTGTGTGTGACCTCGTAGGCTGCAAAGGCACCCACACATCCACACGTACAGTCAGTGCATTGCCTTCAGGTCCCCTGTATCCGTGTCGTCTCACTGGAGGACGCTTCAACTTTCAGGCCGCCACGAACGAAGGCGCTGGAATGCTCCAGGTCCAACGCCTCGCCTTTCACCTACACAGACGGACACACAGCACAGGGCAGAGCAAGCAGCCATGGGATCCGATGGACGGAGAGACACCGCTTCATGTGGAAAAGAGGGCTCACCTTGTCTTCCTGCATGTCCACGAGGGCGAGATGGTGACTCACACCTGCACCACACCACAAGTAGGGGAGGTGTGACCATACTCAGCAGCCTGCACAGCCAATGGGGCGCTCGGCGCTCACCCTGGGCCATGATGGCAAAGGCACACGCCATCCCGACTGAGAGAAGAAGCCCCACACAACAAACCCCCCTTTCGTCCTCAGTTCGGCCCTGGCTTCCCTCCCTGCCCGTCGCGTGCAATGTATCGTACCTTGTCCGGCTCCCACGATGGTCACCTTGTCAGTGATGATGTTGCCGGTCTGGGGGTTGACATGGAAGGAAGCTATCTGCTCAGCGAGCTGCAACGAATTGGGCGACGCCTCCCCCTTCTCGAAGAGGGAAGGGCGACGCTCTCGAGACGCAGCTGCAGGAGAAGCCATGGTGGGCGAACTCGAGCAACCTGACCCTATGGCGACTCAAACAACTGCCCCAAGGAGCCGGCTGCAGTGATGGGGCCTAGGATGGGGCTGAGGGGAGAGACTGGGGCCACTCACTGACTTTGAGGGTCGACGCCCGAACTCGATATTTAAGGGACTTCCGCTTTGGCTTGCTTTCAGGGCGGTTTCGCGATGCAGGCTTGACAACATCGGATTCCTCAGTCGTCAAAGGCCTTTGGCCACAAAGCACACAGTCTCTTGCTCGTCCGCACTGCCCGTCCAATCAGAGTCTTAGGCACAAAGCACTTAGTGCCATCCATCGATGAGCATAGACTGTACTGCTACTCAGTATAGCCCGGATCAGAGCAGACCATATCAGCGCAGTACAACGCAAGGTGAACTGGGTGGCCGTGCATGGCCCATCTTTGTCTCTTTCACGTCGATTGATTCCTTTGAGGGTCGGCGGTGCGTCTGGTTCTTGACCTGGTTCTGCTTCCACGAGTCGTCGCTCGTCTGGCCGTCGAACGAGGCGATGTTGCCGATCGTCACCTTGGCTATCGCCTCCAGAGCCTCCTTGGTGAAGAATGCCTACGCGCACAGACAGACAGACAGACAGAGACAGGCAGACAGACAGATTTGCCCTCGGTGTCTCTGTGTCTTTGTGTGTGTGGTAAAGGATTCCTGCCTGCAACCACCCACCTGGTGCGCAGTGATCATGACGTTGGGAAACGTGAGAAGCCGGGCAATGGTGTCGTCCTGGAGCACCTCGCTGGACAGATCTTCGAAGAATATCTCCTCCTCGTCCTCGTAGACATCAATCGCCAAACCGCCGACCTATCCAGACACACAGAGAGGAGGCATGAAGACATCGAGACACGTCGAATTGAATCTAAAAAAGAGAGCACCTTTCCCGACTTCAGTCCTTCGATCATGTCTCTGCTGTGGATCAGGGGGCCTGAAAGAGCGACCAAGACAGAAAGCGGTATATCGCCTCGATGTGTACGTGTCTTTGTGTCTCTATGTGTCTTTCTGGGACGTACCTCGTGACGTATTGACGATGACGGCCCCTGGTTTCATTTTGGCAATGGTCTTTTCGTTGATCAGATGGTGACTCTCGGGCGTGAGGGGGCAGTGCAGCGAAATAATGTCCGACGTCGCCAGCAGCTCGTCCATCTCGACGTACTTGCCGCCCAGCTTCTCAAAGTCGGCATTCTTATACGGATCACACCCTGCACACACACACACACACACCCATTGGCGGATGGACCCACTGCTGGGCTGCATTGCGTGTGTACCGAGTATGTTGCATCCGAATCCGCTGCAGATACGGGCGGTGAGGAATCCGATCCTGCCCGTCCCGAGGAAGCCGAACGTCTTGCCGTGGAAATCCATCCCCAGCAGACCGTTGATCGAGAAGTTGCCGTCACGGACACCTTTGAAACATCACACAGAGACACACAGACACACACAGAGAGGGAGAGAGAGATAGGCATCCGTGCAGTATTGTGTTCCGCTTGGGGGGCTTACGGGAAAATGCTCTGTGGAGATTTCTGTTGAGGCAAATCATCTGTAAGAGCAGACCGAGACTGTCAAAATGTGACCACTGCGTTTGCAAAGTGATATGCCTACGAGTCCGACGGCGTGCTCGGCCACGGCGTAGGGCGAGTAGGCCGGCACTCGACACACTGTTATCTTCCACTTCTCAGCCGCTACCACTGGACATAGACACACACAGACACAGAGAGAGAGAGAGAGAGGCAGAGAGACATCGCCTTGAGTCAGTGGATGTCAGTGCTGCGCTACGCATACAGTCGACGTTGTTGAAGCCGGCACATCTGAGGGCCACCTGACGGATTCCCAGCTTGTCCAGCTCTTTGAGCACCTCCTCGTTGATGACGTCATTGATGAACGCACAGACCACACTGAACCCCTTCGCAAGACTCACAGTGGCCTGAAAAGACATAGCCGAAAGCGTCGTTTGTGCCCGGCCCCCACATATGGTTGGATGGTCAGGCTGACGGGCGTGAGGCGTGGTTCGAGGAAGGTGAACTCGATGTTGTGGCCGAGGAGGCTCAGCTGCTGCGTCAACGACGCCCTGTCGTAGACTGGCAACAGACATGGAGAGCAGAAAGGTGGCGATTGATCGAGAGAAAGGGGAGCCTCAGGCGTGACTGCCAAACACGAGGAGGCGAAGGCTGGCTGACCTTTGGCAGAAAAGACGGCCACCTTGCATGTGGATGTGGAAGACATCTTGCCGGAAGGAGCCAATTGAAGGAGCCGGGCTGCAGTGATGGGGCTGAGGGGAGAGAGATTGGGGAGGCACCGAACGCCTGGCGGATTTTGGTGGATAAGTAGCTCCTGACGCGATGCTCAGGAGGGCTCCTCCTTCCTCCTCTTTCCTCTTCTTTCTCCCCTCTCCCACTGCGAGCTACACTTCTTAGTAGGCTCGCATCTCTCAAGCGGCTTGACAAAGCCTAGCCCTGCTGATCTATCGCACCATCGCAGCCTCTATCGCAGCCGCTGCACCCTGGATCTCTCTACTTCCGCTCCGCCACCTCCGGCGGCAGCAGGGCCGCTGCTCTAGCTGTCCGGCATGGACTCGTTCCGCTTCGTTCAGCAGTCCGGTGTCTCGCCGTCCTACTGCCACTGCCCGCCCTATCATGATGCCGACCTGGGCAAACACTTCGACAGACTCACCCAACGCACCTCGACAGCATCGACGGCGTCGGGCTCGTTAGCCACCACGCACGACTACGCCAGTGAGGTGTCGACGGCAAGCGCAAGCCAGGCACCTCCGCCATTCAGGTCAGCGAGGGACACCAGGGCAGAGAAGCAAGGTTGCCTAACCCGCCATCTCACTCACTGACTGCTTGTGTGTGTGGGTGTGGGTGTATGGTCAGAATTGCTGCGTGTCTGCCCTTTCCACGGGCCGATTCCTCGAGCCACCACCACCATGACGGCTATCCGCTGCCTGCGAATCGGCGCAAGAAGCGGAATCGCAAGAAGGTGTTCCCCTTCCTGCTGTCATGGCTGCGGCGGAGACCCACCTCGCCCTCGCAGTCACACCGCCCCCCACACGGGCTGGAGAGCGCCGCCGAGAGCGATGCCGACGTGTCCATCTCGCCGCTCGCCGACCTCCATCGCATGCCCTCATGCACTGACGACGACATGCTCCTGCTCAGCCAGGACACTGTCAAGTCGGCCCCCGACCACCCCCTCCCGTCATCTGACGACACACCCCTCCCCTCCCCACCCACCTCGTCAGCCGTCCTCTTCGAGCGGAGATCGCAGCGGACCTACACGGTGAGTGGGGTCGACCCCACTCTCGAGCTGACAGCCGTGTGCTGGAGGGAGAAGCGCCGCCAGTGCGCTTCTCCGGTCAACGAGCCGCCTCTTATCGAGCCGGGCCAGGCGGGCGCGGTGGCGTCGCAGCCCTCGTGGGACAGCCGTGTGGGCGTGCAGGTGTCCCAGGCGCTGCACAAGTCGCTGTGCAAGAACCTCAAGGTCATCGGCCACTACCAGCGGCGCTACCTTGAGGACAAACGCGCCAAGCTCAAGGCGCGCGAGGAGCTGCTGCGCTACCACAGCCACTCGCCCTACTTCCGCCTTCACCAATCGCAATCGCAGAAAGAGAAGGACAGCTCCGGCAGCACCAGGCGCAGTGGGGACACGACACTGCGGCGGCTCGTCAGCAGCGGCAGCACCGTCGAGAGCCTCTCCGACATGAACATGCTGGGCAGCAGCAGCAGCAGCAACAAGAAGGCGGCGCTGCGCTCCCAGCGGACGGCGCCCAACCTCGCCAGTGTGAGTGGCGGCGGGGAAGACACCCCCCACCCCTTGACCCACGGCACACCGCCAGAGCAGGGCGTGACGACCCCCGTGGCCTCCCTTTGCCCCCCCTCGCCCTCATCGGTCATCTCCATCAGCTACTGCCCATCCGACGAGTGGTCGGCCGGGCTCATCTCCCACTCATCGTCAAAAGACGCCTTGCTGCCGCCCGCCCCGCCCAGCGCCGAGAGCATCTCGATGCGCCGGCAGGTGCGGCAGGGCATCACCCGCAGCATGAGGGAGCTCGTGGCCTCGTGGGCCAGCGAGCAGGGCGGCAAGGGGGAGGGAGCGGCAGCGGCCGGAGGTGGCGGCACTTTGCCTATGCTGGGGGACTCTGACGGGGGCAGCAGAAAAAAGGACGGCGAGGGAAAGGGCAAGAAGAGCAAGCGGTCAACGGTGAGTGGGGAAGCTCCCGCACTCACACACTGAGTGAGTCCACACATTGCCCCATCTCTTTCTGTGTGTGTTTGTGTGTATGTGTGTCCTCAGCCGATTGACGAGTTGTTGGACCGTGAGCGGCGTGCGCGTGACCTGCAATCGTCCATGCAGAAGGCGCGCAGCATTCGGCTGCGGCTGCAGGAGATCACACGAGAGGAGCTTCAGGCCAACGCCACACTCTCAGAAACATCAAGACTCGGTCGGTACACACGCACACAAACATACACACCACACCCAGCAGCACAGCACATGGCCCCTCCCTCCCCTGTTTGCCATCCATCCATCCATCTGATTGTCTGATTGTGTGTGCAGGTTTTGAGGGCGACAGATCGACCCTGCACCCAACATTCGTGCCCCCCACACATCGTGTGCTGCCCTCCCCGCCAGGCCCACCAGAGCCGCCCACCCCGCCCTCTCTCCTTCAGCCACCCGACTCACCGTCGCTCCGCCCGCGACACACGCCACAGCACAGCAACAGAGGCGGGGGCGGCTTCAGCTACATGGGCCTCGTCCACACCCACACCCACACCCACCAGAAGGACACCATCAGCAGCATCAGCATCAGCAGCGGCAAGGGGCCGCAGGAGGACACCAAGCTGCTGAGCGACACGTCTTCGACGCTGAGCAGCAGCTCGGTGGAGAGCGGGTCGGGTGGCCTGAAGAACGTCACTGTGGGGCCGACTGTGGATGCGGACGTGCTGACGGCCCTGGAGGAGCAGATTCGGGGGTGCGACGCGCTGCTCTACGCGGCGCGCAAGGGGGTCGAGGGGTGGAGCGATTTTCTAAGCGCTGTGTGAGTGACTGAGTGATCGAGCGACTGACTGAGGATGAAATCAATCAAGGGCTGGATTGGGGGTTGCATGCGAGCGGGCGACCAATCGGGCAGCCGAGCCGCTTTTTTATTCGGTTGCCTCGTTGCGTTGTCTGTCTGTGCCTACGGGAGGGAGGGAGGGAGGGAGGGAGGATGTGTTGCCTCTTGAGCTGGGGA